CTGTGATGTCATCCCATTGCTTGGTGACCTGCTGCAATTTGGGCACTGCCGCATATTGTGTCACTTGCGGCAAATGAAGCCTTGGGGCTGAACTGTCGATGGTGAGCAGCAAACCTGCATGTGGCCTCCAAGGCACATCCCAGTTGACCTTGACGTCAATGAAAGGAGTCAGAGTACGGCTGGCCACAATGTAGTCAAGCTCTGCTCCATTGATCATGGTAGGTTGGCCCGTGCATACAACTTCCGCCTTCAAGACATTGAGAAGTTGGTGTCCTTGCCATTGGGTGGGTGGCACCTGAAAATCTCCCACCACCAACCATGGAATGGCCAGCTCACCAAGGAAGGCAGCCAAGTCTCCCAGCACTGCAGCATTTGTAGGGGAGTTAAGGTCTTCACCACACTTCAAATAAAGCGAGACCAGGACGACCTCCCAATTGTGACGCTGCAACACATTTGCCAAATACCCATTTCCAGCCTTATCACATTGATGGATCTTGTAAGCAGCCTGTCCCTCACGACTGCAGAAAAAGTGGCCGCCACTAGCGCCACCCCGCCCAGTTTCATAGGCCTCCAAAGTGGCAAGCTGCCACCGACTCCGCGCCAATGCTTGAGACGCATTGGCAAGCTGCTTTCCAGCGACATGGGTTTCAACGAGCATTGCAACTTGTATGTCTTGTTGGAGCAACCAGTCACGGGCTTCTCTGTTCCATTGGGTTACATTGCTGTAGAAAACTTCGATGCCATCACAACTGACCCTGGGCCTCTTGGGTGGCGGTGCAAAGCTGCCAATGGTGTGCGTCCAAAACTGACTGTGCTCCGCGCGGGAGGCCCAGATCATAACAGCTCCTCGCTGAATGTCCTCAGGGACCTGCTTCCGGGGTTGTGGGCACTCTCCATCATCAACCGTCCAAACTGCATCCTCCACTAACATAGCCACATAGTGCCCTGAAGTCAATTGAGCACCCTGATGAGCAATTATGCCCCGAAGAACAAAGGTGGAATGGCCAGTGTGTCCAGTCAATGTCCGCTGTGGGCACCTGAAGCTCGAAGGTGTGTGCAAGCGGTTGTGATGCTTGACCCACTCCTTGGCAGCGGCATCCAGGGAATATCGGCCCACATGGAAAACAATGTGTTCAACCTCATTTGCTAAGCATTGCCCATTGGCCTCATTGGCCCATTCACTCAAAAGCTGTTCAAAGCTTATGTCATCCCCAGCATCTGCAGGCATCCTGACATAGAGGGGGATCGTGTCAAACTCATGGTCACGCCCACCAAAGTAGGAGAACCAGCTGCCTTGCAAACCTGTTTGCCCCCACAGTTCCCATAAGTGAACAAGGAATTCGCTGGCATCATGCTGCTGTTGCGGTTGTTCCAGCCTGGCCAGGGCTGGTTGCAGTTCCGACGCCCAAAAGATGTCCTCAATGACATCCTGCTGCAAAATCTGGAGGCAAAGGTTGGTGGATGTACCCCAAAACTCTTTGGGATTGGGATGGTGTGCACCCATCCAGCACCACAGCCTCAAAACAGTGTTGGCATAGCAACGATTGCCCGGGTTGCCCAGCGTAAGAGTCAGATTGGCCGCCAACAACTCATTGGCAGGGGGGCATGGTAGGTTCCTGCGCAACCAATTGCGTCAAGGGCAGGCTATGCTGAAGAGCAAGGCGCATTTTGAGCACATGCTTTAGAGCCTCCAGGCCCCAAACCCTTGTCTCAACTTTGCCAAAACCAAGATCATCTCTGCAATCCGCTGGCAGCGCTTGAATGGCCTCCATGGCTCTTTGCTGCAATACCACCATACGGTCTTGGAGATGCCCCGGAGTCACTGGCTGCTCAGGGACTTGGCCAGCTTGCATCACGTCCTCAGAGGTGAAATCAGCACCTCGTTTGCCTCCACCAAGGAGGGCGCATTGTGCAGTCAGGTGCTGAGGGTGCATCTGGGTCCCGCCTACAGCAGGCCTGGGCACGCCCAGCCGCTCAGACAAAGAAGCACTCGGTGCCCATTGCTCCCCCAGCTCCCGACCTACTGCATCCATTTCGATCTGCAGTGTGGCTTCCATCTTTGCAGAAGCCGCAGCTTCATTGCCATTGCCACTGGACATTGCCGACATGGAACGCCCTGGCTCTAAAGCAGTGGAGATGTCTGGATCAACACCCATGTCAATGGCAAAAACATTCTCACCAAAATGATCCACAAATGGATTGTCAAAATACCTGTCACTACCAACATACGGCTGCATGCTGCCAAGCCAACAGGTCGAGTCCAACTTGTCATGCTCATCACTCCCACATGCAAAGAGATCACGTTCACAACCATGCAATGCTGAACCCCTTGCACAGTGTACAGTTGCAGCGTGTCTCCAAATTGTCAAACATTCCCTGGCGTTTGGCTCATCCCCAAATTGTTTCAAACCATCTTCTAACAAGCTGCCTGGCCAACAGGACCCCATCACTGTTGATGCAGCAACCCATTTTCTCATGCCATCACACAAATCATCAGTACTGTTACCCACTCTGTGGGAGATCACCAGTCTTGCGGCGCTTTGCCAAGGTTTCAGCAAGGTTACGTTCCAGCTCTTTCTGCTGGTCAGCATTGAAAATAATGCCCGCCTGACCAATGGCCTTCAAGACATGCTCAGTAGTGTCAGGGTCAATGACGTGCTCCTTGTCCTCCGGAGTGCCAGGAATGGCCTCTTCTTTCAACTGCTTGGCATAAGCTTCCGACTGGCTGCCCAACTGCTTGTGCTCCCGATCAATGGCGTTTTGCACGCCTTTGAGCTCTTCAAGAAGCACTTTGTATTGCTCTTTGGCATTGTCCACTTTTCTCTGCAAAGCCTGCTTCTTTTGTGAAAGCTGGCACAGTTCGCCCACCGTGGCCTTTAGTTGGCCAGTGACATCCACCTGTGCTGCAGGGGCCGGTTGAAGTAGGCCTTCAACAGCGGAGCGAACTTCAGAAGGAAGGGCCTCAAGATGAGCCCTGAGGACTTCTTCAAGAGGCTGCAACTCAGGCTCCGGGGTGTAGTCAATGCCAACTCCTTTAAGGGTTTCTTGCACCTCTTTGGTCAGTGTGCTCCAACCTTTTCTGAGCGCACTCTCAGCCACTGACTCTGGCTGCCGGCCTCCCAGGCCCGGCGGCTTGTCCACTAGGACAGTGCGATCTCTTCGAGGTCGATCTCGTCTAGGGCGAGGAGAGTGCTTGTTTGTCGGACGGCTCTTGACCTTGTCATTCGGCCACTGCTGGCCACAGTGGTCACAACACCATCTGGTGCTGGAGACTCGATCTGCCCAGATCCATGAGCCGGTGCACCCATCGCAAACATAATAGGTCCTTCTCGGTCGGACCTTGTTGAATCCATCCCAGGAGCTCCCATGCATCTTGCAAGGACAAACAGGTATGTGCCCTTCTCCTCGAGGTAGGGTGCTTATTCTCGGTGTGCTCCGCTATCACGGGCAATGGACCAAAGCCCTCGAGGTTGTCAATCACAGCTCGCGTTTGAGCCGAAATCTTGAGCCAAAATGGCTACGGCTCTTTCTCTTTCTCTTTCTCTTTCTCTTTCTCTTTCTCTTTCTCTCTCTCTCTCTCTCTCTTTCTCTCTCTCTCTCTCTCTCTCTCTCTTTGTCTATCTATCTATCTATCTGTCTTTCTGTCTGTCTGTCTGTCTGTCTGCCTGCCTGCCTGCCTGCCTGCCTGCCTGTCTGTCTGTCTGTCTGTCTGTCTGTCTTTCTCTCATTCTCTTCTTCTCTCTTTCTCCCCCTTCTTCTTCCCTTATTTGTCTTCTTCATCTTCTTCCCTTCTTCCTTCCTTCTTCCCTTCTTCCCTTCTTCTTGTTATTATTGTTATTATTAGTCTTGTTCTTCGTCTCTTCTTCTTATTACTATTCTTCTGATTTTTCTACCCTTATTATGTTTCTTGTTGTTAAGATGATTGTTATTAATGTTGTTCTTTTTGTTTCATTCTTTGTCTTCTTCTTATTATTCTTATTATTGGTATATGTTCTTATGTTTCTTCCCTTCTTATTCTTCCTCCCTTCTTATTATTCTTATTGTACTTATTATTCTTATTGTTGTTATTCCTATTCTTCCTCTTCCTCTTCTTCTTCTTCCCTTTTTCTTATTCTACTATTTCTCGTGTTCCTGTTCCCTAATTGTTTTCTTCTTACCCTTTTTCTTCTTCCCTTCTTCTTCTTGTTTTACTATTATTATTACTATTATTATTGTAATTGTTTCTTCTCCTCTTCTTCTTCGTCTACCCTTCTTCTGTTTCTTCTTGTTAAGATGATTGTTGTAGCTGTGTTTTCTTGTTGTCCCTTCTTTTTCTTCTTCTGTTTATTCTTATTCTATTTTCTTATGTGTCTTCCCTTATTTTTCTTCCTCCCTTCTTCTTCTTCTTGTTCTTCTTCTTATTCTTCTTCTGTTTCTTCTTATTATTATGTTTCTTCCTCTTCCTCTTCCTCTTCCTCTGTTCTTCTTCCGTCTTTTTTTCTATGTCTCTTATACTTATTCCTGTTCCCTTCTTATTGTTGTTAGTTTTTTGTTCTTATCTTTTTCTTCTTCTTCTCTTCTTCTTCTCTTCTTCTTCTTATTACTATTCCTTTCTTTTTTTCTTTCCTCCTTCTTCTTCCCTTCTTCTTCGTTGATCCTTCTTCCCTTCTTCTTTCCTCCTTCTTCCCTCCTTCTTCTCTCCTTCTTCGCTCCCTCTTCCCTCCTTCTTGCCTCCTTCTTCCCTTCTTCCTCCATCCTCTTCCCTTCTTTTGCCCTTGTTCTCCTTCCTCTTCCTTCCTTCGTTCGTCCTCTCTTCCCTTTCTTCCTTTCTTTCCTTTGAATCTTCTTCCTTTTTCTCCTTTTTGTCTTCCGTTGTTGCTTGCTATCTTTCTATCGTTCTTTATTTATTGACTCCTGTCTTTCTTTCTCTTGACCACGCCCACACTCTCACGCAGCCAAGTTTAACAAGTGAATCCTTAAAGATTTTCGGAAACAATACGTACCATTCATCGCCGTGTCGCCTGCCAACCGAGCTTCATCTTTCATGGCCTGGAACAGTCCCATGCCATACGCTTCTTCGCTGTAGATGCACACGGCCAAAGGGATATCGTATTTCAAGACCCAGGACCAGAAGGCTTTCCCTTGAAAGGTGTCCGGTGGAAAGGTCCTCAAGTAGTACGGAAAAAGATCTTTGTTTGAGAGGAGCGGGCTGCTCCCAAGCCCAATCTGTGGCACCTGTGTGACAGCTGATATACTCGCAATCGGCATGGCAATGGAGGAAAAAATGCCTCCGACCAAACCGACGACGGGCACCACACCATCCAAACCCAATTGAAAATCCAGCGCTGTTGCTACACCCACTTCTGGCTTGGAATGACTGGTCCCCAAGCGAAAGGAAACATTTGCCACCTGACACGTCGCAACACGAGCAAAGCCGACAAAAAAACTGCGAGTTGACCAGCGGCGAGACCAGATATATACCCACTGAAGATGGGAATGTGCCCAATATGTCCCAATGGAAGTCGAACAACAATGGTTGATTTCAGAGAAGAACGGCAAGCCACCCAAGCTTCCAATTGGCAGTGCTGCGTGGAAACCATGCAAATGTTTCATTCCAAAAATGCTAAACCCTAAGCACAAAAATCTGAATTGGCCACAAAAGTGCTGTTCAATAAAGTCCGTGCCTGAGGATGCAAATTTGGTATGGCGATAACTGGAAGGCCAAATCGATCAGCGATGTCCGGCTCAAAGTTTTTCCGGAGGTCCAAATCAACACTGACAGCCACGCCCATATGCACTTGGGAAAAACTCGTGGTCGGACCGTAGACCCCCACCAAAAGTTGGTGCGCTGCGCAGAGGCAGGGGCATGCCACCCATACGAATATCAGCCAAGAACCCACCATGGGAGGAATGGAATGCGATCAAAGTCGTCAAAGTTGATCATGTGTTTCAGAAGGTCAACTCGCATGTGAACACCGCACACGCTTTGCAAAACACCGGATCTTTTTGGATAAAGTTTTCCATGTCCAGTTGAATGCCTTCGTGGGGGGGCAAATATTTGCTTTTACCCTGGAATTTGGACCTGGTCAGATCGGCAGCGTCTTGGACGCCCACGCTACCTTGAGCCAACAAGCGACACTTTCGTAGCGTCTTGCAGGTCACGGTTTGGAAATCATGGCGGCCCTTCAAGGCCGCAAGGTGGCATAGGAAAGTGTAAATGTGAAGGCTTGCAAACTCAGCAAGTCCTACCACTCTCTCCACCATAGCCCCTTCCAGCAAATACAAACGGACAGCCGGTAACGTTCGGATCGCCAAAGTGGGGCAATGAAGGCTCGGGCGGGGGCACCCGACACACTTGTGCGCGCTGCCCAAAGCAAAAGAAAGAAGAAACCCCACCGACTGACCCTCGGACCAATGGCCCCCTCTTTCAAAAAGCGCAGCTTTGACTGGGAGTCTCAACTTGCTGGCTGTTGTTGCCTCTATGTTTGTTGTTGTTTTTCTTCCGAGAGCGCCTGAGCGAAGGGTCTTGCTTAAAAAGAACAAAATGCATATCATTACACCCTACATCTGCACACACCCAGACATGCACATCTTCACATCTGCACACGTCTCACGTCTTGACATCCGCACAAATCCACACATGATCAAACATGCACGTTCTCTCATCTGCATATCCTCACAAATGCACATCTCTGTTTCCTTTTTGATCCTTTTTGAGGGGGTTCCCCCGCCCACAGGCTAAGGAACGAGCCAGGGCGAAGGTGGAGCCAGACGAGATCGGCCACGCAGAGGCAGGCGGCTGGAGCACGTTGCGCCGCTACGCAAAGGACCCTCCACAACGCCGGCACGGGACGCGAACGAGCTGTCAAGCAGCGAGCAATCCAAGCTCCAGTGGCCGCCCAGCTCCGTAGACGAGCAAGCTGGGAGACACACTGAGAGACGAGGACGGCTTCCCGCGCCAGCCGCAAACATTTGCGATGTAAAATTTGAGTTCCGCGGAATCGTTTTCCCAGTGATGTAATCAGGGCGTTGGCGTAGCCAAAAGAGACCGTGGCATATTTACATATCAGAAACTTCGAGTGAAGGCTGCAGTATACATTCGTGAATTTTCAGCAACAGTTTCTGTGTAATCATTACCTCCTAAAATGTGTTCAGCAGGGTTTTTGCTTAATGCAGCCAATTTTGTCTCGGGCGACCGTTTCGTTTATTCCCAGAAGCTCCCAATAAGAAACTCTGAATGCACAATTGGGCTGGACAGATATTTGGCGCATAGAATCGTCGTGGCTAGCCCTGAGTACATGACCCAATAAATTTCCAACGGGGCCAAGATTGGCTGAACCATTCGAACTCGCGTCGACGCCTCGATTTGGATATGCCAGTGCTGTACGTACATTCAAAACCTCTCTATTTGTTGGCTTTCGGTACATAAATTCAGACTCTAAATTATTGAGACGGAATCTTGAGACAACAGCATCAAAAATTGGCAGTTGCCACTTCATGTTTGCATTTGTTGCCTTCCAGTACGGCAGCAATTTGAACCAGGTTTGCCTTACTTCTTGCATTATGTTTAAAGTTTCGTGTCGAATGCGTGTTTCCTTGTTAATTCCGTTGCCTAAATAAGCCGCGTCAAACTTCATTGGCCACTTGTATTGCCACACACGTGTCCTTGTTTAGCCGCGGTCCGTATTTACAGGAGATAGTTTCAATGAACTTTCACAACTCATTGAATGCCCTGCTGTCAGTACAACGCGCATGGTATCAGCTGCATCGTACTAAAAAATTTAATTTGCAGATTTGGGACTCTGCCATTTTTTGTGCACCCGCGGACTGGTTGTGGAGCGAGTCTCAGACATGGAGGTCGAAATTCCTTTACCAGATGGGAGTTTAGCTCCAGAAGGGGGTGGAGAACCTATGGACCTTGACATGATCTTGGATCGAGTCAAAGTTCAGACAAGACATCACAATAACAAACAAATATCGGGAAAGGGGGGGCACCCTTGCCTGATGCCAGAAGATTAGCATTCATTTGACCTGGGGTGATCCAAACGCATCTTTCATGAAACCTTGAGGTGTATATTCCCAGCAGGGCGTCAACCCACCGCATGGCACACGGATGAGGGGAAAAGAACACAAGAGCAGGAAGCCACCCACAATGTTGAATCCCAATGGCCCTACCTGCCCTGTAACCCCACCTTGGCTGGCACTGGGATTAAAGGCGGATATGTGGACCAAACTCCGTTTGGGCTTTGGACCAAGCAGGCCGACCGAGACTCGTCTTATAAGAAACTGAAACTGCAAAAGAAATTTGACCATGCAAGTTGTAGAGGCTGAAGGGGGAAGTTATGGAAACCAGTGCGCCAGCAGATTTGGAGAGGTGTGTTTGTTCGCCTCCTCTCATTCAATTTGTGGTGCTTGGATAGCCTTACAACTACAATGATACGCCGGCTGCGTGCGTCTCCACAGTTGATCGAAACGTAGGGTGCGCCACTGCGTTTGCGCCTAAGTGCTTTCTGCGCATTGTACTCCGACTCACATAAAACCTTCCAATAAACAATTGGTCCATAACATACATGGTCCTGTCTGTGCCAGTGCGGAAAAAACTATTTGCTGAACACGAAGTCTACTACGCATGTGCTTGGAACATGCCACTCCGCAAGAAACACTGGCCCTGGCACGAATTCACGCGACGCGGCACGAAAAAGGTCAAGGCGGCGTGCGGGTCGCCACCAATGTTTTCCTGCGGGACCTGAACATTGGCACGCCCCTCACAGACGGGCGCCGCCTGGAGGTCGTCGCTAACGGCCTCCCAGGGCATCAGGGCGCACAGGTCGCCGTCGACGTGACCTTTTTCTCGCCGGTCGCCAGGGGGGCCGCCGCAGCCGACGCCGCCGCGCGCAAGCGCCGCGAGACCTATCCCGAGTTTTCTCAGGCTCCCCGCGCCCGGCTCGCCGTCCTCGCCCTCGAGATCGGTGGCCGGCGGGGCGACGACTGCGAGCACTTCCTCAGGGTCCTCGCGGCCGGTCGCGCGCAGGCGGCCCCTCCGTGGCAGCGCTCCTTTCCCTCGCGGCGCAGGGCGGCCTCGCCACGACGCTGCTGGAGCTCCCGGAGCAGGGGTGCGGCGCGCCGCCCTCCCCCGCCGTCCTCGCGGACCTCACGCAGGACGCGCGGCTGCTCCCCTGTGCATAGTGTCACCTCTCGCTCGTCGCCGCTGCTTCCGGGGCGACAAGAGGATGATGAAGTCCAAAGACTTCGATTTGGCCTGTTGCTCTTGATGGCAAGTATGAGCACTGTAGCTGGAAACTCGACTGAGGAGAAAGAGAAGGGAGGCACAGACTTGGGCTGGATGATGCTCGTTGTGTGCGCAGTGATTGGGGCCTTGAGCACAGGGAGACCATGAAGTACCAATGCGATCAGCAGACACAGGCGACTGAATGGCTGGATTCGCATATTTTAATACAGATTCATAGAGTATGAAGAACAACGAGAAAAGATGGAAGACGAAATGAACAAAGTGCAGGCAGAGCTGCTCGATGCTGAAGAGATTATTGGACACCTACACGAAGACTGAAAAAAAGGTCAAGAGACAGAGGGATGACCGTCTACAGATGTTCCTTGGCAAGCTAGAGTCGAAGATGCTATGCTTGCGCCGCACTACTACAGGGCAAGTGCGCCATTTTGACAGCAGATGCCCACATTGGCAAAATGCCAAGGTGACACGATCTGGCACGTACTGCATATGTTCACATACCCGCTGGGCAGATTTAGGCTCAAAACATTTTACCTGAAAAGGTTCGTGCGCCGCATTGCAAAATCGTATGTAGTTTTCTGTGGTTGGTGTGAGCTTTGCATGGTTGACGATGAGCTAGTGCAGTAAAGAAAGGAATGAAATTCTGAGAAAAATGCTAACAAGAGGGTCAGCGGGAAAAATTAAGTAGTTGTGGCTCTGCCCAAAAGATGTCCTCCAGGCCATGTTCATGTAGATACGTGGGCACTGTTGCAGTAAAATGCCAAATACTACTAACGATGCTTGGACCAGTGGCAGCGCCAGCTCAGCAAGGAAGGATGAATCCTTGGACGAGGAGATGGGCATTTCAGTGCAGGACTTGTTGAGACTTTTGCCATGCATGTCCAAGGAGGACAAGAAGGTGCTGTACAAGCACTTGCGCAAGGATCAGGAGGAAGAGATCCTGAAGGTCTATGGCCCCATGGTGTTCAATCGATGTCCATCCAAGTTGAAGAGGCCTGATCAGAGCTCAAAGGAGGATGTGGCAGAGCCACCAGGTCCGAACAAGATGCCAGCTCCCGCGTGGAAGAAGAAGAAGAAGAAGTTGGAAGGGTTCCGCATTCAGCTGTACGAGGCTGCCAAGGACCGGAAAGGCAGGGCGATTCCAAGTCAAGCCTCGGATTTTCGCGCTTGTCAGCCGGAAACGTGTCGGCATGACTATGACCGTCTCTTGTGGGGAGCCAATGGTCATGCGCATTGGGCAAACTGCTGAGACTGCAAGTTGAAAAAGGTTCTCTACTACAACATTCTTCATGGTGCCATGGTCACCGAAGATCAGAACCCGCAGCCGGCAGAGTCCGCGTATGCTTACATTCTACATGTCACAGCAGCAGCGCCAGGCTGGGTATGTCATCCTTGACACTGGTTGGAGGACAGTTGTGGCGGGAGAAGACTGGCACAAAGAATCAGTTCAATCTGCCGTGGCACCGTGACCCACGAGGAGATTTTCCATTTTGGAGCTGGAGAGCCGGTGCTGAGCACAAAGGCTTCATCTATCCTGTGAAGTGCAGAGCACGCCAACTGATCCCCGTGTGTCGGAATGCCCCGGTTTGATTGGACCAAGTGAACTGGCCAGGTGGCAGATCAGCATTGACTTTGCAGGCCACCAAATGGGTGTTGGAGATGAATGGCGGCCCACGATGATGTCACCCTGTACATGTACACAGTACGGATTTCGGGCGTAGAGATCAACATCCCAGACCAAATGTATCATTCGCAGGCTCCAAGATTACGCCGTGTAAAACG